TGGAATTTCTGGTGTGTTTGAAGTGTGGTAGTATTTTCGCAACTATTTAAAAACATGCACCACAAAATGATAAAAGATTTTTTCAAATCTATTACGAATTTCAATACCATATCCCTTACCTTCTGAATGCTGGATTTTGAATGAATTACGCGGTTCCAGTTTGGCCATCGTTGCTTCGCTTTCAAACTCCAAAAAATCCGGCTTGCAGTGACCATTTACCCAAATCTTATCTCGGTTACAATCGATGTTTTCAGTCAGATCTAAAACTAATTTCACAATTTGTACAAATTGATTTAGCATTTTGCATGAAACTTGTTCATTAGTTGATTTGAAGTAAACTAAAGACTTCAACGATTTTCATATAAATTTGAAATTTCAGTCTTCGTAACATTTCGAAGCCTCAATTATGAAATAAGATGCACTCCAAAAGCAATAGTATTGTAATAACATATTTGGCGAAATGATGGAAAATGTATTAAAAGCACTGAACATGACTTATCCACCATTCATAGCTATACTAGCACCCATACTATTCATTCATGGCACCACCATTACCCACATACCATCCATGGCACCATCATTACCCATAGCACCCATATCACCACCACCACTCATACCACCGCCATCGTTCATGGCATTATTACTAGGTCGGTAACTACTGCAGAGAACAATATAAACAATGAGTCTTTTTGCCATGTTCGTATTTTGTCAACAAAATATCATATTTCGATACTCTGAAGGAAGGCTGTTATTTAAATTAATATTCGATATCACAAGTATACGATTAAACATTTTGCAGATTTTCTTTAAATCTATTCGTTTTCATTTACTTCAATCAAATGATATTATTTGATTGAAAGAAACAGATAATGTCTGAAATGATTTTTTGCTTCAATGAATTTTTTTTTTCGTCGTTTTCTGATTTCTGACACTTCTCTTTTTGACACTTCTCACATTTCTCTTTTTGATATTTCTGACATTTCTGTTTTTCACACTTCTCAGCAATATAGAAAATGTGAGAGTACTTGCGATAACAACCAAGTAAATATGAATCGATGTACCGAACTGTTTTAAGCAAATTAAATTGATGTTAGTCGAAAATCTACCAGAAAAAAATTTTAATTGAAATATCGGCTAAATGAATCCACGACAACGACAATCATTTGGATATTGGACATCACATTGCTCCTTCCGATCCTGTGATAGAGCAGCTATCTCACCATCTTAACACTTTTTTAACATTTAATCCTAACATATGAACAGTAAATATTTTTTCCTTGAATTACCCATACAGTTCCGTGTTATATGTCTTCCCTTGATCAGCCACTTTTCTCAGTTGTAAAACTGAAAAAGGTTGCGACTATTAAATGTTACTTTACGGTTTTTACAAATAATTATGTGATGGATTGAAATATGAAAGGGAAATAAATATAAATGACTTGAATAATTGCGCTTTTTATATTCCGGCATTGTCCTCCTTTGGAATGTCTCGCATAGTAAACGTGTTTGAATGATGTCTATTTTTTTGTCGCATGTTTAAATTAGAAAGAAGGAAGAATGACTGGATGGATCGGGATAAGACGCGGATATATAGAAACTAACAAAAATGGAAACAATTGTTTTCTTTTTCTTTTTATAAGAGTTTACATCTAAAATTCACAAACTTCCTTAAAGTTCAGCTTTGTTTGATAGTTATATATCATTCCTGACATTTCGTATGATTTCAACTAATCAATTTCTCCTGTTTCATAGCTGTTACTGCACTGTTTTCTGTAGTTATACAAGCAGTCATTTACTTATATAAAGTAAGTAAGTAATGGGCGGGATTTCTTTCCTAGATCTTTTTTTCCTCCAAATTTTGAATTTATTTTTTAAATATACATCTCATATTTTTTGATCTTCTCGTTACTTTCTCGTTATTGTCATCCTCACCAGAATATTTCTGTATCATTTACTCCAAGATGGAAAAACTTTGCATTCATATTATCAGTTGGAGGAAAAATTCTTTTTGAAAAATTTTTTGAAAAAATTCTTTTTGAAGAATAATTGTACCTTATATTGAAGCGTCTATGCTTACCACTTTATAAGTCTCTTTTTTTTTTCGGGAGAATTTCTATTAGTTAGTTAATCTATTTATTATAATTCTTTCAAGCATATTTATCATATACTAGCATAATTCTGACATTAAAGGTTAAAACTATTTTATATTTTACTATTTTACACTTACTATTTAGTATACATGTTAGGTGAAAGTAGGATATACTTTCGTTGTGGTGACACTAATGGCAAATTTATCTGGATGTTTTGCAAATAGTATTTCTACTATACTGCAAAATTTAATTAGGCATAATTAAATTATTTATGCAAATCATGCTAGGACTTCATGATAATACATGGATTTCATGATAAGCTCATTTTTTACACAAAAAAAAACTTCACAAAAGCACGAAAGTAATTTCGCATAACTTCGCGAGAATACATTTCCTAAGAATTTTTTTTTTCCTTTTTTTTGTAAGCGTAAAATTCTTATGAAAGCCAAATTTTGTTTCCATTTTGCTACTAAAATAACATGGGGAAAGGAACATTAACTCATTGTTAAGTGAACCGAAACGAAATTTGCTGATAAATTATACCATAGAGAGATAAATTTGCAAAGGATCGGTAAATTCCAGCGAAAAAAAAAAAAAATTAACTAGTTTAGAGTTTAGAGCGAAGTATTCATTTCCGTATATGTCAGTCTTTTTTATATCCGTCTTATCCGATTCATTCAATCGTTTCTCTTCCTTTCTACTCTAAACATGCGACAATGATAAAACTGTAGAACAAAAAAAAAAAAAAGTGTCCACCATTTAAACACGTTTACTATGCGAGACAATTCAAAGGAGGTCACTATCGAAATATAAAAAGCGCAATTTTTAAGCCATTTGCCATTCACTTTTTTTTATCGAAATATGATATTTTGCTGACCAAATACAATTATGGCAAGAAGACATTTACTCGTTGTTTATATTATTCTCTGCACTAGTAGCCGACCTAGTAATGATGGCATGGGCGGTGGTGGCGGTGGTGGTGGTGGTGGTGGTGGTGGTGGTGGTATGAATGATATGGCTTTGAATAATTTGGATCAGGGTATGGCTATGGATGGTATGGCTATGAAAGATAAGGCTATGGAAAAGAAGGAAGATGGAATGGAAAAGAAGGAGGATGCGGGAATGGAAAAGATGGGGGA